TCGTCCTTCCATTGGTTCACAACCCTAAATGGCCACTACAGCCGGCACGCGGTGCCAATTTGAAGTCAGGAGCCACGTGTCTCCCATGCTGGTGCAGGGCCCAAGTACATGGGCCATTCTCCAGTGCCTTTCCGGCCACAGCAGAGAGCTGGACTGGAAGAGGAGCAACTGGGATAGAATCTGGCACCCCAACCAGGACTAGAACACAGTGTGCTGGTGCTGCAGCCTAGTGAGCTGCAGTGTCAGCTTGTTAAAGCTTTATTAAAGTTACTGCTATGCTACTGGAATTTACAGCTGTGCATAATGCTGAACAATTAAAACTTATTTATTAGTATGGCAGCTTTACTTGTAGGTAGTATGCATATATTATGTGATTATTGGAGCATATATTATGTACAATAACAGATATGTTAGTCTTTTTAAAAAAGATATTTACTTATTTGAAAGGTAGAGTTACAGGGGGGAGAGAGAGAGAGAGAGACAGAGAGGGAGAGAGAGAGAGAGAAAGAGGTTTTCCATCTGTTGGTTCACTCTCCAGATGGCCATAATGGCCAGAGCTGCACAAATTCAAGCTAGGATCCATGAGCCACTTCCATGTTTCAACTTGTATGTAGGGGCCCAAGGATTTGGGCCATCTTCTGCTGATTTCCAGGACATAGCAGAGAGCTGGATCAGAGGTGGATCAGCCAGGATTTGAACCAGTGCCCATATGGGATGCTAGCACTGCAGGCAGCAGCTTTACCTATTAAGCCACAGGACCGGCTCCATGTTAGTTATTAAGAGTGCATTATATTTACTTAGAAGTAAAGAATAAATACAATTAATTTAGTAGTCATAGATATTCAAAATTAGATATTTTAAAAAAAAAATCTGTGTATTTGAAAGTCAGAGTTACACAAAGAGAGAAGGAGAGGCAGAGAGAAAGAGGCCTTCCATCCATTGGTTCACTCCCCAATTGGCCACAACAGCTGGAGCTCTGCCAATCGAAAGCCAGGAGCCAAGATCAGGAGCCAAGATCTTCTTCCAGGTCTCCTGCACAGGTCCAGGGGTCCAAAGACTTGCAACATCTTCTATTGTTTTCCCTGGCCATAGCAGAGAGCTGGATTGGAAGTGAAGCAGTCAGGACTTGAACTGGTTCCCATATGGGATGCTGGCATTGTAGGCTGCAGCTTTACCCACTACACCACAACACCAGCACCCATAATTAGATCTTAGATGGTTTTCAATAGAGCCATGATTTTTACAAAAATTGATATTCATTTTAACATAATTTAAAAGTTATAAAGAGGGAGAGGAGAGAGAGAGAGGAGAGATATCTTCCAATCATTGATTCACAATTGAAATGGATGCAATAGCCAGGGTTTGGCCTGGCTGAAGCCAGGAGGCAAAAACTCAAGCTTGGTTTCACATACACAGGTGGCATGGGCTCAAATACTTGGGTCATCTTTGCATTCCCAGATGAATTAGCAAGAAACCTGATCAGAAGTGGAGCAACCAGCACTCAAACTGGCACTCTGATATGGGGTGCTTGCATGGCAAGTAGTAGATTAACTAGCTGGACCACAATGCCATCCCAAATAACATTCTTTTTAACATGAATCACTTTATTTATTGAAAAGTAGTATGGCAAAGATGGAGAGAGTGAGGGGGGAATTGATCTTCCAACCATTGGTTCACTCCCAAATGGTTGGAACATTGATGTTTTTTAGGTGGAATTCAAGAGTCAGGAACTGGATAATATCAGTCACCCACAGGGTGGCAGTTGCCCAAGTACTTAAATCATCTTCCACTGCTTTTCAAGGTACCTTAAAAAAGAAGCTGGAATGAAAGTGGAGCAGCTGGAATTTGCAAGTGATAGCCCATCCCACTGTGATAAATAAATTTTAGATTTATTTATTTGAAAGGCAGAGTGACAGAGAAGAATTGGCAGTAGGAATAGATTCTTAATAATTTCCAGAGTTTAATTTTGAAATACATTACTTGTGGTTTGGGGCCAATGCTGTGGCTCAGCAGATAAAGCCAAGGCACCTGATGTTGACATCCCATGAGTACCAGTTTGAGGCCAGTGGCTCCACTTCTGATCCAGCTTCCTGAAAATGTGGCTGTGGAAACAATGGGATATGACCTATGTGCTTGGATCCCTGCCAATCATGTTGGATACCTGCATGAAGCTCCATGCATTTTGTGTTGGCCTGGCTTAGACCAGGCCACTGAATCCATTTGGGCAGTAGACCAATGGATAGAGGACATCTTTTTCTCTCCCTATCTCTTTCTCTCTCTCTCTCTCTTACTCTGCTTTCAAATAAATTCAATCTATTTTTATCTAAAATGCTTTAAATGTAAATTAATATTATCAAATATTAGAAATGTCATTTTAAATGTCTGATATCTTGGTATCAAACTGCTAAACTAAAAGCAATTTTATAGTTCATATGATTTTGGTAATTCTGTTCACAGCAGTTTTGTTCATCTGTTGCCAAATGGAACTCATTCAATTTGTCAGAAAAGACCGAATCACAAATTAAATGAAGCACCAACCCTATCCAAAATATAGCATTAGCATTAAAAAATATGCCACAGTACCATTGCTTAATTATTATGTTTTAATTATTATGTTTTGACAAGTTTGTCAGTTGGATAATTTGGATAGCACCTGCTCCCATGATGTCTCTGTTCTTAGTTTTACCTGAACATGCATAGCTTGCATTAAGATGAATATTTGTACAAACTTAACCATTGTTTTTGTGGTTACATCACTAGTTTTTTTTTTAACTTTTATTTAACAAGTATAAATTTCCACAGCATAGCTTATGGATTACAGTGGCTTTCCCCCCCCCATAACTTCCCTCCCACCTGCAACCATCCCATCTCCCACTCCCTCTCCCATCCCATTCACATCAAATTCATTTTCAATTATCTTTATATACAGAAGATCAATTTAGTATATATTAAGCAAAGATTTCAACAGTTTGCACCCACACAGAAACACAAAGTGAAAAATACTGTTTGAGTACTAGTTATAGCATTAAATCATGATGTACAGAATTTTAAGGACAGAGATCCTACATGAGGGATAAGTGCACAGTGACTCCTGTTGTTGACTTAACAAATTGACACTCTTGTTTATGGCATCAGTAATCTCCCTAGGTTCTTGTCATGAGTTGCCAAGGCTATGGAAGCCTGATTGACGGTGCTGCGGCTACATAGCCTAATCCTCCTCATGAGGCGCCCGCACACCAGGTTCTAGTCCCAGTCGGGGTGCCAGATTCTTTCCCAATTGCTCCTCTTCCAGTCTAGCTCTCTGCTGTGGCCCGGGACTGCAGTGGAGGATGGCACAAGTGCTTGAGACCTGCACCCGCATGGAAGATGAAGAGAAGCACCAGGCTCCTGGCTTCACATCAGTTAAGTGCGCTGGCCACAGTGCGCTGGCCACTGTGGCCATTGGGGAGTGAACCAATGGAAAAGGAAGACCTTTCTCTCTGTCTCTCTCACTGTCCACTCTGCCTGTCCAAAAAAAAAAAAAAAATCCACTTAGCATCATGAGTTAATGCAGGAATTATCCCCAAATATTGAAATGTGTTATGGTACATATGTATATACTCTATAAAGTTATATTGTAATGTGGAGGAGTTGGCTATATTCTAAGTCAATTTAGTGAGTAGAACATCTGAAGACATATAGTAGAAACACAGTCAAATTTAAGAATGGGGAGAAATTCTATATGTATACTGGCAGAACATCAAATAATCATTACCTTCAATGGAATTAAAATAACACTTACCTTCTCATATTGGTCATTTTCAACAATGAATTCTAAAAGTAGGAATTTTTAAAATCTTTTGAGTCTTTTATTATTATTTAGTATTAAAAAGAGAGAGAGATAGAGCAAGAGAGAGAGAGATGAACCCCCACCTGCTGGTTCCCTCCCCAAATGCTCACAACAACCAAATCTGGGTCAAATATAAGCCAGGAGTGAGGAACTCCTTTAAGATCTTCCTGGTGGGTGAAATGGACCCAAGCACTGAGACCATAATCGCTGCCTCTAAGATGCATCAGGAGATGGTTCACTCCCCTAATGGTTGCTAAGGCTGGTGCTGTGACGGTTCAAAGCCAGGAGCTGGATACTTCCTCCCAGTCTCCCATGTGGGTGCAGGGACCCAAGCACTTGGGCCATGCTCCACTGCTCTCCCGGGCCACATCAGAGAGCTGGACTGGAAGAGGAGCAATTGGGACTGGTACCTGGAGCCCCAACCGGGACTAGAACCCGGGGTGTCGGCACCACAGGTGGAGGATTAGCCAAGTGAGCCATGGTGCTGGCCTGCTTTATTCATTTTGAGCCTTGTTGAAGTCATTGGTACCAGATTTGTCTTCCCACCATAAACAGTAAGAATACAGAAAAATGAGACCAATGCATACAGATATTGGGCAACAGGAGTCTTGGTCCATAATCCTTGAGCAAGAAAACAAGAGTCCCCTATAAAAGAGGACCCATTTCTGTTAGAAGAAGGTAGCTCAGGAGGATGGAAACTAAGGTGGTTCTTCTGGGCTGAGTAGAATTTGTGTTGTCAGGTGTGATTTGGGAGATGTGGATCAGGAAGAAGGAAGCTATCCAGAGAAAGATCTACATAAATCTGCATAAGGGTCTCTGCATTGGTGGATATTAAGGTGTGTGTAAGTCAGGTGAAACTAGGAAGCCCAAGATAAAACCATTCCCCAAACTGGGAGATTTCCAAATTCCAACAATGAGTGTGAAAGACTCACCATAACATCTATATTTAGTTTAAAAGTAGAAACATATATATGAAACATATATATGTATTATATATATATATATTTGTGTACACACACACATATATAAGTTTCTTTCATACATATGATGAAATGCTTTTTCAGGTATACAAATAAAGAAATCATCTGCTACAAATTACACAATAATTTGAACAAATTTTTATTGTACAAATATTTATTGTAAATTGAAGGAAATTTGTGCCAAATGGAAATCCAGATCCACAAAAAAAAAAAAAAAAAAAAAATAAAGCGCCCAGAAATGGTAAATCCATAGGTAAATATAAAATGTGTTTCTCTTATTTTTAAAATTCTTTCAATACACATTTATCCATTTAATGTAACAATAGTAACAATGTGTTTTGGAATTAATAAAATACATACAGGGCAGGCCTTTGTCATAGCAATTAAGATGCCACTTGATACAGCTGCATCCCTTATTGGAGGGCCTGGATTGGAGTCCCAACTCCACTCCTGATTGCAGTTTCCTGCTGGTGCAAACTCTGGGAGGCAGCAGGTGATGGCTCAAATAGTTGATTCTCTGTCACCCACAGAGGTGGCTTGGATTGATTTGCCATCTTCTGGCCTGGACCAGCTCTGGGTATTGTCATCATCCAGCATCTGTGGAGTGAGCTAGCATATAGAATGTCTGTCTCCTTGTATCCCTTCCTTTCCCTTCCTTCCCTTCCCTTCCCTTCCCTTCCCTTCCCTTCCCTTCCCTTCCCTTCCCTTCCCTTCTCTCCCATCCCCTCCCATCCCCCCTCCCTCCCTCCCTCCCTTTAACATAATGGTTTGAATCCTACTTTGAGTTCTGATTCTGGTTTCCAGCTGGTGTACACCCTTGGGCAGCAACAGGTGATGACTCAAATTGATGGGTCCTTGCCACCAATGTGGGAGATCTGGATTTTAGTCGAGTTACCACTTTGGAATTAGCCCTACCATGAGCATTTTTGGTATTTGAGAGAGAAGCCTGCTGATGGGAGATGTCTCTCTCCCTCCCTCTCTCTCCCTCACACACACATTCTTCCTCATTCTCTTGCTCTCACTCTGGAACTTACTCTCATCTCCATCCCTGCATGCCCATAAATAAATAAAAATGTTAAACAAATAGACTGAGATAAGGTAAATGTGGTTATATTAATGCATAGAAAATCATATTTTTTAACTTTTATTTAATGAATATAAATTTCCAAAGTACGGCTTATGGATTACAATGCCTTCCCCCCCATAACGTCCCTCCCACCTGCAACCCTACCTTCTCCCAGTCCCTCTCCCCTTCCATTCACATCAAGATTCATTTTTGATTCTCTTTATATACAGAAGATCAGTTTAGCATATATTAAGTAAAGATTTCAACAGTTTGCTCCCACACAGACATAAAGTGAAAAATAATAGATGATTTTTTAAATGATGATGAAATCACATCAGACCTATTGTCATGTTTAATCCCAGTGAGAGTCAAGTTGGGAATTGACAATTTCTTCTTTTTTTTTTTTTAACAGAAGATCAGTTTGGTATACATTAAGTAAAGATTTCAACAGTTTGCACCCCCATAGAAACACAAAGTGAAATATACTGTTTGAGTACTCGTTATAGCATTAAAGCTCAATGTACAGCACATTAAGGACAGAGATCCTACATGAGGAGTAAGTGCACAGTGACTCCTGTTGTTGACTTTACAAATTGACACTCCTGTTTATGGCATCAGTATTCTCCCTATGCTCCAGTCATGAGTTTCCAAGGCTATGGAAGCCCTTGAGTTCTCCGACTCTTATCTTGTTTAGACAAGGTCATAGTCAAAGTGGAGGTTCTCTCCTCCCTTCAGAGAAAGGTACCTCCTTCTTTGAAGACCTGTTCTTTCCACTGGGATCTCACTCACAGAGATCTTTCATTTAGGTTGTTGTTTTTTTTTTTTTTTTTTTTTTTTTTTTTTTGCCAGAGTGTCTTGGCTTTCCATGCCTGAAATACTCTCATGGGCTTTTCAGCCAGATCAGAATGCCTTTAGGGCTGATTCTGAGGCCAGAGTGCTGTTTAGGACATCTGCCATTCTATGAGTCTGCTGAGTATCTCGCTTCCCATGTTGGATCACTCTCCCCTTTATTTATTCTATCAGTTAGTATTAGCAGGTACTAGACTTGTCTATGTGCTCCCTTTGACTCTTAGTCCTTTCATTATGATCAATTGTGAACTGAAATTGATCACTTGGAATAGTGAGATGGCATTGGTACATGCCACCTTGATGGGATTAAATTGGAGTCCCCTGGTATGTTTCTAACTCTACCATTTGGGACAAGTCAGCTTGAGCATGTCCCAAATTGTACATCTCTTCCCTCTCTTATCCCCACTCTTATGTTTAACAGGGATCACCTTTCAGTTAAATTTCAACACTTAAGAATAACTATGTGATAATTACAGAATTAAACCAGTCATATTAAGTAGAACAGACAAAAAAAAAAAACTACTAAGAGGGATAATGTATTAAGTTGTTCATTAACAGTCAGGGCTATGCTGATCAAGTCACCATTTCTCATAGTGTCGATTTCACTTCAACAGGTTTCCTTTTTGGTGTTCAGTCAGTTGTCACCGATCAGGGAGAACATATGGTATTTGTCCCTTTGGGACTGGCTTATTTCATTCAGTATAGCCATATTTTAAAAAGAATAAAGGGCTAAAGCCCATAAACAAATAGCTAGGACAAAATATATCCTAAATGAATAAATAAACACAACTAGCTAGAGAAAGAAAGAAAGCTTTGTGAGAACAAAATAAACAACAAATATGCAGTACAATGAAACACTGAAAGTCTTACTGATGATTACATTAACTGTAAAGGCTGTAAGCATTCCAATTAAATCAGTTTTCTTACTGAAAAAAAAAAAGCCACTCCAACTATATGCTAAAAAAGCTAAATTTCTGAAAGAAATGAAAATTAAATTAAATATCAGTACACAGACAAGTTAAAAGAAAAAGAATACCTTGCAAACACTAATCATAGTAAGCTAGACTGACTATATTGATAAGAAGCAACATAGATTTCAGGACATGGCATATTGCTAGGGATAAAAAATAACATTTCATAATGACGAAAAGACCAATTGACAAGGAATGTATAATTTTTTATATATCTACAAAATGACAGAGATTCAAAATTTGTACATATAAAAATGGCTGACTGAGGTAAGAAACAATTGTGTACATAAATGATAGGTGAATGTTTCAGTATGCATTTACAGTGTTACAAAAAATGAAATACTACATACTAATGGGGTGCAAATCACATGCCTCAAAAAGTACATGTATCTAGTATGTATGTGTGTGTATAGAGATACACACTATATATACATATGCACACTATCTATATACAATTTATATATATGAGTATATATACATACTCTAAACTGATTTATGGGAAAATAGGAAGTCCAATCAGAAATGGAGAAAGACATGAACATACATTTCACAAAGGGGTAGGTATATACATACTGGAAGTAAGTACATGAAAAATAAACAAGTTCATTAGCCTTTGTGGAAATACAAATTAAGAACAGAATGAATACTACCACAGTCTATTATACTGACTAAAGTTTATGCTGATGATATAAAGTGGTAGCAAGGATTTGGAGTGACTAGACCTCTCTCAAATTACAGGTTGGAATGTAAGCTGGAATATCAGCTCTGGAAAAAATCATGGCAGCGTTTTATAAACACACATCACCATATGAGTATAATTTAAAAGTTGCATTCCCAGCTATTTATCTCAGGGGAATGAAAACCTAACAGTCACACAAAGAATCTGCATCTGAATATGCATAACAGCTTTATTAATACTCAAATAAAACTGAAACAACCTAAATGTTTTCAATGAGCAAATAGATACACTATGATGCATCTGTTCAGTGAAATTATTACTGAAACAAAATGTACAACATAAATGGATTTTAGGAACATTATGCTAGGTGAAAGAAGTTAGACACAGAATCTACATGTCTTTTTAAAAATAAATAAATATATATATATATATATATATTCTATAGATGCAGAAAGCTTACTTGTAGTTTCCTAGTGTTGAAGTTGGGAATGGAATGAACTGCAAATGGGCATGAAAAGAACTTGTGAGTGGAAGAAATGGATTATTGTGGGGCTGGCACTGTGGCTTAGTGGGTAAAGCCATCGCCTGCAGTGCTGGCATCCCATATGGGTACCAGTTCAAATCCTAGCTATGCCACTGCTGATCCAGTACCCTGCTAATTTTCCTGGGAAAGCAGTGGAAGATGGCCCAAGTGCTTGGGCCCCTGCACCCATGTTGAAGACCCAGAAGAAGCTCCTGTCTCCTGGCTTTGGATCAGCCCAGCTCTTAACATTGAGGTCACTTGGGGTGTGAAACAGCTGATGAGAGATCTCATACTCTCTCTCTCTCTCTGCCTCTCTCTCTCTCTTTCAAATAAATAAATAACTCTTAAAAGTAACTCAAGAGTCAGGTGTTGTGGCTCAGTATGTTAAGCCTCTGTCTTAGGCACTGGCATCCCATATGGGCACTGGCATCCCATATGGGCACTGGTTCTAGTCCTGGCTGCTCCTCTTCTGATCCAGCTCTCTGCTATGGTCTGAGGAAGCAGTAGACAATGGCCCAGATTCTTGGGTCTCTGCACCAATGTGGAAGACCTGGAAGAAGCTCCTGAATCCTGGCTTTGGGTTGGCACAGCTCTGATCATTGTGGCCATTTGGGAAGTAAACCAGTGGATGGAAGACTTTTCTCTCATCTCTCCCTCTCACTGTCTGTAACTCTATTTCTCAAATAAATAAATAAAATCTGAAGAAAGTAAAATAAATAAATAAATCTTAAAAGAGCAAAAGATGCTTCTTGGGACACACACATCCCAGAATGCCTGGATTTCATTCCCAGCTGCATTCCTAATTCCATATTTCTGCTAATGCCCACCTGGAACCACATCAACCATAAGTAAAACACTCAAGTAGATAAGAAAAATTGAGCCATGTTGGAAGCCTAGATTGAGTTCCCAAGTCTTGATTTTGTTAAATTATTTAAGAGTAATTGACTAATCATTTGGAAATGGAGAGAGAGAGAGGAATTTCCCTTTGACTAGATAACTCTGCCCAATGCCCCTAACATTTAGGGCTGTGGAAAGCCCAACATGGTTGAGGAATTCCATCCAGGTCTCCAGTATGGAAGGCAGAAATTCAAGTCTGCCTTCATCTGCTGCCTCCATTGCACATTAGCAAAAAAATTCTAGTATTCAATATGAATTGAAAGTACAATGGCTAGCGCCTGAGCCAGCATGCTGATATGGGACATGGGCATCCCCATCAATGGCTCAGCCTGCTGTACTGCCATGCCTGCCTCAGTAGCTCCCAGGTTTAAGTTAACTCAGCCTCACTGATGTGAGCATTTTTATATCTTCCCCCTCTCCTTGCTTCTAAAATTAACAAAAGGAATTAGTGTTGTGACACAATAGATCAAACCACCCTCTGCAATATTGGCATCCCATTGGGCCTTGGGACTCTGAACCCATGTGGGAGACTTAAATGGAGTGTTGGACTCCAGCCTTCCAGCCACAGCCATTGAAGCCATTTGGGGAGAGTGAACCAGCTGATGGAAGATCTTTCTTTCCCTCTCTGTAATTCTGCCTTTCAAATAAATACAGTAGAAAAATAAAATAAACACAAATAAATAAGTAAAAAAGAGTACCCTTTTGCTTTTCTTCCATGTCCCCAATGCTTTGAAACTAAAGCCACTACAAATATGCTGTTTGTATAGATTTGTCTACTATGGATGTTGAGTGTAATAGGAAATCCAAGTGTTCTGACCAATATAGAGCCTCTGTCACTTGAGTGGGATTGAGCCCTATCTCTCAGCTGTATTTATAAAGAACATAATTCTGGCATCAGGTAGCTGCAGATAGGAGAAATCAAGATG